TGAGTCTTGTTAACTCCCCCCCCCCCCCCCCCCCCCGAAGCTGTCTTTCAGACCATCATGGAAAGCTCACTCAGAAACGTGCCCTTCAAGAAATCTCAAACAATGCCACTTTTTATTTATAAACTTGAGTAACTTCTAATATAATCTGGAGTTAAAGCAGTTGCACAGTTACAAACACATTTATCAAGCCCAGAAAAATGCTGCAGGTCTATCTTCTCTAGGACGTGTCTTCAACAGACATACCTGACACGCATTTCTGCGTGAAGGACCGAAGAAACGCCGATGTCTTTAGGGTACGACCTTCGCATTAAATACCTACTTGTAGAATGCAGCAGCTACAGCGATACCCAGAAAAGCCAAGTTGTGCTTTGCTGGGGCAGCGCTGTATATTGTAATAATTTTCATTCATTTCCCCTTTTAAAACGAACGATCTGAGAGGACAGAATATTTTACACTAGGTAGTACATCTTGTACTACACAGAGGTTTGCAAAAGGAAAAGCCTAGGAGCTGTATTTGGGAACCGCTAGTGGATTGCAGATCTTTATACTCATTTTGAATAACGTCCTAAGAATGTCAGAAGTACCATTCTTTTTATCCTCACCTGATAAGAACTGGCTTAAGTTTGATGGGGGGTAAAACAGACTGGATCATTTCCTAAATTCAAAGGAGTTGCTCCATGTCAGTGCTGAACTAAAGGCTTTTTTTTTCCTTACAGAAATACCTTTCAAGATCAAGTAACAGAAAAATGCAGTATGCTGAATAAATAATTTAAAAAATAAAAACAATAGTTATGAATCTGTGAGAAAAGTGTAAGTGTAAGCTGGAAAAAAATACCATGGACACTCATTCAATATTAAAATAGATATATTCATTTTTATTGTGTCCTTGAAATACAAAATTCACTTAAGATGTTAGATTACTAAAATAATGAAGTTTCCATTTTCTTGCTCAGAAATTCACAATATCCCTTACTTGATCTAAAATCCTTAATGATGGATATTAACTATTAAAGTAGAACCTAACCGTTGTTCATCTGTATACAAAATGTCAGTTTGCACAATTAAGAGCAATTCACAATCTTTTGAATGTCAGAAAGTTCAATAAAGATGAAATAAAAGATCATTTTATAATTCTACAAGAGAAATTCACAGACCAGTAATTATTCATAAAAAGAGCAACACCAAAACCAGTGACATGTAACTGGCTTAAAAGCATAAACTAAAGAACAACTCTTACAGGGTTTTCTATCAGCACATTACGACGTACTGGCGGAGATGTGGAAGTCCAATTTGCAAACAGGTAGACACAGACTAGCATGGTCTTGTAAGTAATGTATCAGTTTAAAAAGTTTACAATAGCTTATAGCAGCACCGAGTGCCTGCATGAAAGTGGAGAATACACAATCTGTAAACTGAAATAAGAATAATAAAAACAAAAATCACATTTTAGCATTCATGTTAGTTGACGATGAATTCACTTTTCTTCTCAGGTGCTACAAAGGGCCATACTGACTTAATAAACCTATTTTATATGAGAAAAAAAGGGATATTTTTTTTTTTTAAATAGCAGAAGATATTATCACTATAGCCATAGGCAGCAACAACCTACAGCGGGAGGTTGGTACCGACCAGCCCAGCCACTTCTCAGATCGATGGGCGAGCGCCCGGTTTCGCTGGCGGAGCAGCAGAGAAAGCCGAGGGGCACCCGCGCTCCCCTCCAGGACAGCCCTGTGCCTGCCGGTTGGCCGATGGGAGAAGCGGGGGCTGTGGGGCTGGCAGGGCCAGACCCCCCAGTTGCAGTGGGGAGGAGGGAGGAAGAAGCAGGAGGTCTGGCCGCTTGCAAAGAACACTGCCCTTTCTACCGAGGTGGTTTTGCCATCTTTGTGCCCCAGCGACAGACGCCGAGAGCGGGTCGCTCCTGGGTTCTGCGGCACAGGAGGGGGTCAAAAGCCGTATCGTGCCCTACGTCATGATACATGCTCTCCTCATCACAAGATGTTGTGGCTGGCTTGGCTCCAGCTGGGACCTCGGGGGACAGCGCACCCTCATCCCGTTGGATCCCCCTCATCTCGTTGTGCTGCTATGGCCTATTGACCAGGAATACCGACACCGCTGGCCTTTCACTCCCTGCTCCACGGAGACCCGGTCACTCGTGGACAGATCAGCTGCTGACTCTCAATAAATTGTCACCTCCTCAGCTGCTGAGTACACGGACCAGAAGGGCTTAACGTCTTCTCTGCCCTGCTCTAGCTCTCACGACTTTAGGTCTGGGTGAGGTTTACCTCCTCTGCAGTTGGGCAACGCTCAGGTAGCGATGCGTTGCTTACCAGCAAAACTGACCTACCAGGAGCACAGGTGACCAGGGACACGGTTCCAGGACAAGCTGGGGAGGCCCTGCTTTACGTTTGATTATTTTGGTCCCTGAGCAAAAAGAGCAACTAACTCGTATCCCAGCAAAACGCCGGTCTTTTGCGTGGTGCAAAGAGCGCTCCGCAAGCCCGACGCGAGGCCTCCAAGTGCCTTCACGGAGGTTTCCTGCAACTCCTGGCAAAGATTCTGACCCTTTTTTTTTCTTTTTTAAATGGAAGTATGCCCTATAGATTTAGTTTGCTATTTTGGAGACAAGCTAGCTCTTCTTTTATTTTCAATAGATACCATACAAACTGATCAGCAATTAATCTGAAATTACTAATGAGTCATGTGTACTTTTGGCACAGTCCTACTACGTCCTACCAAATTATGCAGCAGCCTGTGATCTTCTAATTCAAAATCCTAAAAATAGGATAAAATTGTAAAAAAAGTCTTCTGTTTAAAACAAATATCTACTGCTATTTTCGTAGTTGCTTCAGGTTTACTTCAAAGTTGGATGCCAAAGAAAGATTTATCGTAACTGTGGCACGAGACATTTTACAGCTTACATTTAAGCAATAATAGAATACAGTCAACAGCGTAATGATATCAACATTTCCTCTCTCAATAAAGCAAGCTCTAATGTCCAAACTGGATTATGAGCTATGGCTGAGTACAGAATAGCTCCTCCAGAGTAACTACAGGAGTAAGCAACTTGAGTACAGGAATCTCTCCATAAAACCAAATTTTATTCTGTGGCACAAAGCAATAATCAGCTTTTGCTGTTGATTAAACGTTGAGGCAAAGTTAAAGCATTTAATCAACTGCAAAGCCCATTTAATGTACACGTACTCCAACACCGTAGACATTATTGATATTATATACGAAAAGAAAATGTTTATCCAATATATCTCACGAAACCACAATTTTCTCCTCGGAGGATCTGGAATGCGGCCGTGCCAATCTCTGAAAGCCTTTCTACTGATGCTGATGCTTATTTAGGGTATGTGCTTTACATGAATAACTAAACAGGTTTCTACACAAATAGCGATAAATAATTCTAACTCTTAGTATGTACGTACCACTTTCCATCCATAGGCCATCAAGTACTTTAGAGATGAGTACAATTTCTGATTTTAAAAGACTTAGGTTGGCACATCCCAAAGAGAGATGTTTTTTTGGGAACACAAGGCAAGGCCCACAGACATGGCTTCTCTCCCATCACAATTATCACCTTGGCAAACTGAGACTGGACAGCCACAAGAATCCTCATCAGCCTCTGAAGTGATGGCTGGGAAGAGAGAGAGGGTCTAAAAAGCTCAGATCCTGTGCACTAGGAAATTAATTTTTGAAACAAGAGCTGGTCCCACAGCGAAGCAAGTTGGGCAGCCGGTATACAAATAGCTTCTGTGGCTGCCCAGGGTTTTCACTTGCTCAAATTTTGGCCCCAGGGAAGAGCCTATTTTCCAATTTGTAGATGGAGAAGTCTGTTTCCAAACACAGGTCACACTACTCTGCCTATGCATAACTTAGGCACAGTAAAACACTAATAAAAAGTAGTTTTAGATACCACACTTGCCCCTGAAGCCCTCTTCTTTTGTCTTTTTGGAGAAAAAAAACAAACACAAGAAATGGTCAAAAGAAACACACGGACGAGTCACTAGGAAAACAGTGAGACAAACAGAAGGTAATTTTTGAGATGATCGAAGAATTTCAAACAGGCTTATATACTTTCTCCCTAAAGAACATACTTTTTTGGCTCAAAAGCCAAAATAGATAATTTAGGCTTGATCCAGATCCTATTAAAATCAACAGAACCTCCCTTCTGACTTTAAATGACTGCAAGCAAAAATCACAGATTTTAATTTCTTTGCATTGCACCAAAAAAAAAAAAAAGAAGAAAAGCAAAGCATTCACCCTCAGTCCCTAAAACTGAAGTCAGAAATGTGTTGCCAGTAAGAGATTCTTGCAAATCATCCTCCGCCACCCCACACAGCTTCCATCACATCTCCCAAATGAGGGCTAAGACACTCAAGACCATGAAGGGAACAGAGTAAATAAAAAGTTAGAATAATAATCACTAAAAATTCTTTCATCCCCTAGAATTAAGTTCCCCCTTTCTTGCTCTTATGCTTCTATGAGAAGATGCAGAGATGCCTCCCGATGGTGGGTGTATGGGACCTCCCAATCCAACAAGGGGGAACCCCTGTTACAGAGGGCTACTGAGCCTGTTTCCCATACAAATGACCTGGATTCTGCTTGACATCATCCTCCCTGTAAACCCTACTCAACTCATGGCCAAGAGTACGGCGGTCCATCTTCTAGGGACATTGCGCTACTTACTTGGCCAAACTCACCTCACTACTCACAACTCAGAAAGAACAAATGGAGGTTCCATGTCCTTGCATCTGATATCTACCTCCAGCCTAAGGGCTTTTCTCTTTAGAAACAAATAGAAAGGAGGTAAAAGCAGAGAGGGAAAAGCAAATGTTTCCAAAAGTACAAAGCTGAGTGACGAAACAGAGCAAACATGGAGATTAGTGGAAGACATATAGGCAGTCGCTCACTTTCTTAAGGACCTTAGCTTGTAACGAAAGGCAATATCAACGTCTGGCAGGAGGATACCAAGGCCCATACGACTGTTATCAAGTCTGACAGTTTTGTTTTCCACTAGTTCTACATCGAAACGAGCCAACAGTAAGAAAAGAAACATCTTCATCTCATTCATTGCGAGGAACCTCCCCGGGCACATGCTGATCCCAGAGCCAAAGGGCATTAGGAAATACTTCAGTTTTCTTCCTGCCTTGTAGAATGTGGTTTTCTTCTTGCCATTCTCTATGTATCGATCAAACTTATACTCCTGAAAATAAAAGAGAGAGAGAGAAAGAGCGTGATATCTAACAAGGCAGTTACATGAGTGGCTTTGTTTGCACAACGGTAACGCTTCTGAAATCCAGAAAATAAGATAAAGAGGAAGACAAGGAGCTGACAGCTTCTCCTTTTCAGTTGGTTCTCTCAAGTTTCATTAACTCACATTATCTTCCCTGCAAAGAACACTCCTTAAATCCACTTACTTAGCTTAGCCCTTTTACATCAAGCTCCTTCAACTTCCACGTCTCATCCATGGAGTGTCTGGCCTATATTGATCGTAATTAGATTTTGACCGCTTTGTAGCAGGGACAATGAACCTTAGTGGAAGGACAATTTTCTTGTAAAGCATCATACGCGCTCAGTGTGGTACATACATCATGAGTAAGGATAATCTGCCAAATTCTGCAAATGCCTATGAATAAATTAATGCACTGCACAGATCTTGCTCTCGCAAGATAGAGCAAAATACGTCCTTTTGCACCCAGTGGTGTAGGTTATTTGAAAACCAGACCCGATGCTTTGCAGTCCATTTTCCCTTCAGTTGGAGATGGTTGCTGCTTAATTTGTCACACCCTATCGTCAAATGTTTTGCTCCAGAAGCTGTGTGCAAAGCAGGACAACCGCCAGTGACTGACCATTATAAAGAGGGTGCTTTCAAGTAAGGCTGGAGGTTGTGCTTGTGACCTATGCTCCATAAATTGAACACCTTTCTGACCGTTTTCCAGTAGCAGGATCCCTGTTTAGAGATAATTCATGTTTTTGAATGAAGGAGATCTGGCATCCTCACTCCGTCAACGGCAAATTAACCACTTACAAAATCCTCATGCATGCTTTGAATAAAAATGACAGACACTTCTTGCTTATGGTCACTCATTAGCATTTGTCCTGTTTTGCATACATCTGCTATAGCAGCAGCCATTTGGAGCTGGCTGGGAACAAGTCAGTCAGACAGAAACCAACCTCAACTGATTAAAAAAACCCACAGCACAATGAAAAATGCACTGATACTCATCTACCCATTAGATTAAAGGCTCCGAAAACCATCCACTGCAGGCCTTGCTGTTGAGAAAAAACAGTGGCAGGGGAGGCGGTCTATGAGAAAGGGAACAAGTACAAGGTGCACCAGAGGGGATGTAACTTTGGGTGTTGAAGAACAGGAGCTTGTTTCTCTAAATGGCAGAGGCCTGGATTTTCCACCAAGACAAAGGTGATTACATGTGTGTTTCCCCTGACAAGTAATTCTTTTCAGTCACTTTGAACACCCCAGCCAAAAGGAGGCATGCCATTTCTTCCCCCCAGTAAGTTATTGCTTCATCTGAAGAAGCACAGTAACAAACGAAAGCTCAGAATACAACTTCTTCCTTAAAAAAGATCTGCTTCCCAAAATCTAAATCCTGCTGGTCTAAAAAAGCACTGCTAAATACGAAATGCAATAGCTTAAAAAACCAACCCAACCCAACCCAACCCAACCCCACCCAGAGCTCTTCACTTTGTTGGAACATTTCCACAAGGTGCACTCCTGGTGCCTGGAGCAGTTAAGAACTGTGATATTGAACACACAGACATACTGGGTCAAACTTTATGCTTTCTTGGTTGTCTTAAGAGCCATCTGAGACTTGTAATTGCTTTTAACAAAAAATAAATTGGTGTCTAAGGAATTGGGAAAGCAGAAAACAAGTGTGAGACAGGAATGGAGCCAATGACAGTGACATCAAACTCAGGCCTGAAGTCCCTCCGGTTGGACAGTGTTTCCTGAAAAGCTAGTTCACCGGCTAAAGAAAGACTAATTTTGACAATAAAGGAACTTTCAGCCATGCACAAGGCCTCCTTGGAAGAGACAGGGTGGTTGATGGCAAGGAAAAGGTGAAGACACTGAGCAAGAACAGGCGATGAAGTTCTGTGTGGATGGCCTGCTAAGGGTAGTATGAAAACTGAGCAATCTCCTGCGATTGCTCTAAGTCTCCGTCACATCTGGTAGTGAGCTTTGCTTGGGAAGCCACCATGCAGGGTTTGCTGCAGGGTTTCCTGATATTTCAGTCTCTGGGATTTGCAGAGTTCATTTACTGAGCTCTATAACTAGCTGAGTTAGGATTTAGGGGTTCACTTATCCACCTTATAGAAAACCAACACCTTTATTTAGGCTTTGATGAGTGGAGGAAGAGGTCAACAATATCTGCTTACCCTTATACAATATGGTGCCAAAGGGGAAGATAGCTTGAACTTAAATTTATGTACCCAGGAGAAAAGCATTGCTGCAAAATTATCTAGTCAAGCTGCCTGTTTTCCCAGGAAAGTTTTCCCTAAATACATGACAAGCTCAAGACTGCACCTTTCAAAAAATTCATTCTCCATCTCTATCTGATCCTCAGTAGTTATTGTTGAAAGCACACTGCATATTTTAAGAACCAAACAGAACAGTGATTTCCCCACTTTTCGAGAGGGCCCATGTGCTGAAATCAATGTACTGCAATGTGTGGATTGCTCATTCACTATCAGAAAGATAAAATATATGAACTAAAGCTGTACTGTGAAAGCCGAGCAGAGCTGATACTAAGCAGATATATTCAAGCAACGGAAATATGGTAATATATTCCGGCAGTTATTGGATGAGGGAGGGGATCAGTTTCCACACTGATGCTTTTGGTCTAGGACCTAAACAAACAGATGGACTTTTGACAAATCAATAATGTTCTCCAAAACAAAGTGTTAAGAATAAAATGAGGAAAAACTTATTTGTTAGCTGTTACTTTTTAAGGATAGAAATATTAATCAACTATTTGCCAATATATAGAAGATTTTTTAAAACCCTAATTTTCTCAGTGGGCTTTGTCTTCATTTTTGGGTGGGGACAGCCAGCAGAGCCCTCCTGGATGTCATTTCCATTTTCATGGCTCCAGTGTTCATCCCGCTGACTGTACCTTCCTCCTGCTAACTCCGACACACTCCACACCTCCTCTCACTAAGGCTGGTGGAGCTCCTGCACAGCGAGACGTTATCCCGCACCAACAAGGCACCTGAATCTCATCTTTCCTCTGCAACCTCATATCCTTAAATTCCTGGAAGAGAGAGGCTCAGGGAGCAATGTCTCTAGCATGGGTTTTCTATAAACATGTCAAGAAATCCAGTTCCTTTCTTCTTTGGCTTGAATGCCAAGGATGGAAACCAGCATGGCTGGGAGACAGACATTTGCTTAGGAAAATGGGGATGAGGAATGGACCAGGTAGGAGCTCTTGCCTCTTGGGCAGAGGAGCCATTTAACAGCCTCAGCGTGCACCTTGGCTCTTCCTCCGTGGCACCGTGGGCTGGTGACAGCAATCCGGGGGAGCAACCTAGCCCAGGCGAGGACTATTCAATTTGCATGCAGGTGGTGAACTTCTGAAGCCGTATTAAGGCGGAGGCAGGGTGGATTAATTTCGAGTCTTTGATATTCATTAACTCGAGCATCAGAGAAAAATACAAGGAGATGACACAATTACCCTCCCAGCTTCGCTGCAGAGCAACAGCTTTACAGTCTCAAGTTCACAACAGTCTACTAATTGATCAAGAAGGGGTGAATCTCTACGAAGGGAGGTGAAAAAGCATACGGCTCAAGTAAGACACTGCTATTATAGGGCTTCAGAGAGTCAATGATGCTTTGGGGGCACTTAGCTAAATGGCCCACATTATTTGCTATTTAAACCACCTTCTATTATTCAGCCCTCCTTGGGTATCAAATGATCCACTGCCAAACAAAACCCACATTTAGCCTAAAGTTTATGGTAGTCAATGTGCAATTGTCAATTCCTTTGAAAGCAGTCGCAGTCAGTCTCATCACCATATTTCTCTCTTCAGGCCATGAATCTTTTGACCTATAGGGCCCTAGAAAATACATCTGAAAGTAGGAAGATTTGTTCCACAAGAAGGAACAGCAGTAAAAAAAAAAAAAGAAAAACCCCGCAGATCACAAAAGGCTTGGCTGCCGCAATGTGCCTGGAGTAGGAAGAGTAACACCAGCTGAATATTTACCTTAGGATCTTCATAGACCTCAGGGTCCATATGTAAAATCTGCGGGTAAAGGGCTATCCAGTCTCCTTTCCTCAAACTGACTTCTTGATTCCCTTCAAGCTTGAGAACAAAATCCTCCTGGCTGATGCGAATGTTCATGGAGGACGAGCACATTCGTAAACTCTCGTTTAAGGCACTCTCTGCAATGAAACAAAAGTGGAGGAGGGGAGGAAAGCGTCAGAAACATGGGAGATGACTGGGAGTTATACATGGCTACAGCTGCTGAATCTCGACAGGTTTAGTAGGGCAGGCTAAAGGAAAAAAAAAACAAGGGAAAAAAAACCTCACAAACCAAACCAAACGTAAAGCAGAGACCAGGAGGAGGCAATAAACAACCCCGCGGGGCAGGAGGGGAGCAGCCACGACACTGAACCTCCAGATGTGATTCTCACTGATGGTGCTGAGAAATCCTGTCCGCTGTAGGCATCACCGAGCTTGGGGTGGAAAGTCATTATTGAGGCACCACATTGAAAACAATGCCACCAAAAGACACAAACGCTCTATGCATTTATGTGTATTTTGGAGGTTGCAAGCAAATACCAGCAAAAGCATCCACGGAGCTGTTTAGCTTGCGTTTCCAAAGCTGTTGGATGTAATGGTAGGACTATACGTTAGAAAAATCGTTTTGCTTGCTAATTCCATAGTCATTCTGAAGATTTTAAAATTTATTTAGTTTCTTTTCAATGCTTTAGGCTGCCAAATGATAGTGTCTGTTACGGTCAGAGTGAATGAAAGCAATTCATTATTTGCCTGGTAATTTTAAGAGAAAGATACTTTTAATTGGCCAAGGGAAAACAAAACATAGTCCTTTCAGGCTTAGGGAAAGCAAGATTTCTGTCTCCACCATCACATCCTGGAAGGCTCCAGAAGCTGAATGTCCTTGCTTTCCCAGTGGCCTTCACCTTTTGCTCCTAGCACGACAGATTTTATGGCTAATTTCCGGCAATTTATCCTGGCAGTTTGAGGAGGAATTCCTTTGGGAATAATACGCATAATTTGCATAAATCATTCTGATAGCATGTATATCAGCATGTAGCTCCTGTCTAGGGCTGCATCTCTCACTTTGTAATCAAAACTGACTATTTTTCCACCAGCATGTATGGGCGCTGTTATATGTGACTTGATTCCTTCTAATCATCAGTGTGAAAAATAGCCTAAAATAGGGTTTCGTTTGTACCTAACAATCCATTTGTGTCTGCATTTATGTTCTGTGATATCAAATAAGCCTCCTCTAAGTGTTCCCCAAGACACCGTAACTGCTGCACCCAAAAGGTTAGTTTATTACAGACGGTAGTCACCCAGTGTAGATGCTGTTGAAAAAAAAAATAATAACAAACGTTCTTTCACTAAAAATTAAATCTGGTGCAGCATGCATAGCAAATAAAGTGGCCCTGGATGCTTTCTTGCAGGAGGTTTTTCCTTAAGCATGCATTTGTCTAAAGAAATGAGGCTGCGGTCAGCTTTGTGTGGCCAGCGCCGTGATTCAATGTGACGTACAGTGAGTCTGTGCATATTCTTTTGGACTGCCTTCGTTACTATAATCAGGCAGAGTCAAATCGGCTTGTTGGTGACGAAGCCAGAAAAGAACCCTGGTTCCAGAAGATGGCCTCTACTGCGGATAGCCACAAGGCACCTGACACGATAGATTTCAACTGGCAGCGCTCTGGCAACAAAACTTTACGCGGTACAAAGAGAGGGTCCAGCCTCCGCTCCCAGAACATCTTCAATCTGCAGAAAACGAAGCTGGTAACTCCGCGCCGGTCCACCATTTGGAAATGGTGGTGACATACATAGCGACAGCAGAACTGAAATGAGGAAGACGGAAGGAGGGGAAAAAAAAAACAACTCAAAAAGAATAATCATTATTAAAATGCTGCTGCGAAATAGCAGGTTTACGTTCAACCGTCCAAGCGATGCGGTCACATCTTATCTGCCGACATCCTCGCAGAACGCACGGCAGTCCCTGCCCGCTGCCGGATCCCAAATGACAATTGGGCAGCATATCTTATGCAGAAGTTAATCACAATAATGGAGCACAAAGTGTGGCTTAGTGGTCAGATCGTAAATGACAAATCTGTTTTACCTTCCAGTACCAGTTATGTGTGGAAGGCAAGCTTGGCTCTCGCTCTGAGCGATCATGCCGATAATCATTAGATGACAAAAGTAATGAGTCGCATTATGATCAACAAAGGAGAATGGAGCTTCTATGGCTTTGCAGGCTCACATTAAAAAAAGCAGACAGTCAGCTTTCTGCAAATGCCGAAGCTATACATTGAGAGGAATGACAACCGCACAATAAAACTGCAGCCTTTACTTGCAGTTGTCATAGTTCAGCAGACACCAGCCATCGCCGCTGACAGACCAGCTGGGTAGCTTGGGAGGCCTTCCATTCTGCACCGTGAGGTACAGTAAATTATCCAGCACGGTAGAGCAACATCTGTTTCTGTGCTTGTGCCGAACAAACAAGGCAATTTAAAGCATACCAAGGGATAACCAAGCAGCAAATGAACATGACCCTCATTTTTTTTCCCCCCTTCTTACACACATGAGATGCTAAACTTCTCTGCGCGAGCGCTACATAAAGAAGCCAGGCTGTTGTTTGATAAGGTGTTGTCAGAGAGATTTTACATATTTTCTAGAGAGGGGAGGGGGGGGAAGAGCGAGAGAGATATATCTCCCATAGTATTGTTATTCTTAGAATCCTCCCACTTCTCTCTTCGTTTCTCTTATACTAAAGCTAGCACTCAGCTTCCAATTCATTCTAGATTTTTTTAAAAACTGTTTCAATATACTTATAAATATTCAGTCTTTAAACCCTAATTTGCTATACTTAGTTCACATGCCTTCAAGCATTTGTCTTCCAATTTCCACTGAATAAATGCGTACTAATGAGAAATAGAGCAAGCTGCTGAGGCAAAGCTGGGTGACTTGAGCCTGGCCTGCCACCAGCTTGTGATAGGCAGGCAAATTGAGTTAAAATGAAAAGTCTTGTCAGCTGAAATACAACATGGTAGCCAAACAGCAAGCTGTCAATCATCCAGCCAAAACAAGGGACTGCAGGTAATAAAAGGTCACTGCGAATCATAAGTGCATTTGGCTTCCGTAGGCAAGTTAATTTTAATTAAACATGATCTCTATCTGTAAATGTTTTATAAAACTTATTGTGCATAATGGATTGTTAATTTTACACTAACACATAGCAGGTAATAGGGTACCATAATTATTAGAGTGTATTGTAGGAAAATAGCTATTGAGTATGCAAATATTTGGGGGGGGCCTCATTTACCCACAGGCATCACGGTGTGCCAACACAAACGATAATCTGAAACAAGTACATTTGCATCTTACTAAGAACGAAATGGTACTGCCCAGGAAAATATATTCATTTCTCTCGATCCAACCAACGATTTTAATGCTTAGCATTTGTGTTACGACTACACCCTCGGTATTAGCTGGTTTGGGGTTCCTACCCTTTCCCGTGCAGGAAATAATTGTTCAAGCTGTGCTCTTTTCGCAGGAAGTATCTGGGATCCAGCAATGACCTGGGGCAAGAATATTTCACCATATAAACGAATGGACTAATATTAAACAAACGAACTGACTAAACACGCCTAGCATTAAACACGCACTAAGTATATCTCTGTTTTACCCTCTGCCTTTCCACTATAACCATAAAAACCGACAGACCATTCTCATGTGTCGTTTACCATATTAGAGCTCCGCTGTGAGCCATAACGACTAATAATGTATGTTACTCCGCGCACACAAATACGTGGGGTTTGGGAAGAGTCTTATGTAGACAAAACAAAGGGTGCTGCCCCAGAAATGCCATCAGAAACAAATAATCAGGGCCAAAATTTGTCAGTTTTGCTGTGAGTTGAAAGTGTTTTGTTTTGTTTTGTTTTTTTAATAAAAGGTCAGGTACCTGTGCTTTGAATTTAGAAGTAAATCAGGCCATGTTGTTCCCTAGATCCAAAGAATCTGACCATAATAACAACGTTGCTTCCTGAGAAAGGCTTTTTAGCAATTCTTGCCTGTTCTCCATAGCATGAGGAATCCAAAAAAAGGCTGGTGTTATAGCAGGCCAAAAAGAGGACGGAGAATCAGAGCACTTAAAACAGGAGAACGAGATGACAAGGTGATGAACATACAAGAATCCCACCTGGTCTGCCTCACTCGAGAGCGGGGACATAAATCCCGGTTTCTAAGGCTCGGGGCTGGCACAGGAGGAGCGGGCAGAGGAAAAGCTCAGTCTTGGAGGTTGGGGTCAGGGAGCTGCAAGGGCAAAGGCAGCGCTGGCCCACAGCCCTCCCGTGGCACGGGGATTTTTGGTGTGCAAGCAGCGCAAATTGGGACCCATGTCCCTCCTACACATTTATTAACAAAACATCCCTTTCCACTGAAGTGTGACTTTAATTCTCTTACGGTACAGATTTTTTTTTTCTATATTATTATTATTTTATGGGACAGTATCCAGCCCTTTATGACTTAAGTGCCAGAAGAATTGAAATCTAGCTTCTGTTCATATCACATTACGTTTAACGCGATTATAAAATTTAACAAAAGTGTTACAAGAATACTACAAAGTAGGATGTGGCACTTTCCTCTCAACACATATATCAAATGTTACCAAGGTACTTCAAGATTTCAAGGAGCAACAGAGGAATGACACAGTTAATGTTTTAAACTGTTCATACCATTTTGCACCAGATGGTTTTAGTGAAGTACATGCTTTTATTTTCCTTATTCCTACACTTCTGGGGTGCCTCTTCTTTTTTTCCTCCTTTTTTTTTCCTTCCCACTCCCATCTCAGTCTCCAACTACAAAATAAATTCTCTCTTGATCTTCTTGCTGCTCATAACTTTCCTTTTATTTTTTGGCGAATGTTAACTCTAATGTGAAGCAGTTTTACTTATGTTCCTTAAAAGTACATTAAACGCTTAGAATGTCATGTTACTCTTCAGAAGCATCCTTGTCATCCAGTATCTCCCCTACTTCAAAAGCATTCTCTATCGCTTAGAGATAAATCTGCACCAAAACAGCCATGGCTCCAGATGCAACCAACTTACCAGACTCATGCTACGTAAGATTAACATTAATGCTCTAACAAAAAGTAACTAGATCAATCTCAATTTTATATTTGCACTAGGAGAAGCAAATCAAATTTGAACACAGATTCTTGAGACATGCCACATGGGATGGTCCTGGAGAATGGCAGCTATTATTTAGGTCCAAACCAGACACAGAGACTGCGCTGTTCCACCACCCTCTCTTGACACAGTTTTGGAACATCAGTTTGGGCCATGAGCTACCGAGACCTATAGACATGAGCTTTGTTTTAACCTTTAAGCTTTTATTCAGCTGTTGTCTACCCTACTAACAGTACCTATGGAGACTTTCAGAAGCTTAAAGGTTAGGTTCCTACCTGCTACACCCTCTCTCCTCCCTTGGGCTAATTTTAGCATTTATCTTACCAGTGCCCGTGTACCAGCAAATGAAGTGAAACCATCAGCTGATGCTCTCTGAAGGCTTATCCAGCTCCAGGACCAAACAACTTCCAATGGCCACTGGCAAGGGTATTCCTCCGAACCCCTGATCCAGAATCAGAAGACTCTGATCTCTGAAACTCCCTATTTTGAATCAAGGTACTTTTTTCAATACTGAAAACACCATTTCTACTCTGCAAGGCTTTACCTTCTTATATTTCGTCTGGAGGCATCGCTCAACTGAAGCCCGCTTTAGAAGTCTTTTTGTTTTATTACAGAGAGAGAAAGAAAGATACTGCTTGTGAAAAAATTACATTTGCAGTTTAAATACATTATCCCACTATAATTTCAGAAAAGGGTCTTTTTTGGCAGTACCGTACTGAAGTGTTTGAAATGCATTAATACTTAGGCAGATGCTCAGAATCAAGGAACTTAATAGGCATCAACTTTTTCTCAAATAATTCCAAGGCTTCGATGTAGCCTTTTGCATACCTTGCATAGTTAATTACCTAGGCTTTAATGTTTACATGCAATGAGAGTATCTACAGCTATAAACTACATAATTTATAATTGATGTAAATGGGTGTTATTATGTCAATTAGGCAGCTGTGTCCTCCACCTTCTCCGTAAACAGAAATGAGTGATAAACCCAGTTTGCCGGGAGAGCCCCTCTTTTCTTCCTAACCGATAAAAATAAATTACCTAGGTAGACCAGGTTGTCCAATTGTTCTCTGGTGAGGTGGATGTTATACGTGGGCCCTCGCTTTTGACCTGTTGACTGCAGCAAATGGTCAATCTCGTCACGCACCGCTGCAAGAGCTTCTGGGTGCCGCAGAAGATAATACATGGCCCAGAATGTAGCTGGAATCGTGTTTCCCACAGAGGCCCACAGGAAGGCAAAATGATGTGCTGGGAGAAAATAAGTGAAAAGGAAGATTAATAGCGTTTATTACACTGATTAGATTTGCAGTGTGCTAATTAAAAGATGTTAGGACACAGACCCAGCCAAGGATCAGTGAATGCTAATGAGGACCAATAGGCTTCTGAAGTCTAATTTTCTGCTTAATGAGAATAGTTTGAAATGTAATGTCGGGGGGGTGGGGGGAATAAGGGGAGGAAATGCAGCTCAGTTATAATCTTTCTCATTATCACCATTAAGTATCTTGTTTTACCACCTCAGCACAAAAAAAAAATCAATTATCATAGAGGGTTGTTTCAGAGTAAAACATTTTATCATTAGCCAATTAGAAAGAACATAAAAAAATTTCAAGGTCGCCATTTTGCCTTTTTATTTCAAAGGTCTATAGTAAATTATTTTATTTTAGACAAGCAATCATTCATAAGTTTCCTACCTGCTTTGTCATAATCTCCAAGCAGCTCATATTTCTCAAATATATCTTGTCTGGCTTGGACCACTTTTGACCCTCCCAGCCATTTTGTCATGTTCTGAAGTAAAAAATGATGTATAAGCTCCTTCCGAACCTTCTTGGTAGCTCCTAGCAACTCAATTGGTATGTTTGCGGCTAAATAGGGAAAGCTGGCATCAAACTTGATAAATTTGTCTCTGATTTCACTAATAACTTTGTGGCCATCTGCAGCAGGAACTCTTCCATATAGTGTTACAAAACTGGCTTCAAACATTACAGAGCAGCAGAATTTGTACATTTTTTCTGTTTCCCAATCTGTTGCTTGTGAGCATTTCCATTCAAATATATCCTGGAGATTTTTCATCATGTGGTCAGAAATGATATCCAAAGGCTTGCCTTGTAGATACTGGTAGATTCTGTGCAGGTTTTCCTTGAGATCGGGGAATTTTCCGTTCGACAAGGCTGGGTAGTCAAAAGTTTTGGAAGCCATTTTATCAGCGAATTCATGAAATTCCAGTTGCTTGCTATTTCGGATGACATAGACATATTGAAATGGGTCCATGATAAAGGTAATATATCTACCTGAATAGAAGAAAAGAAAAAAACAGAGACACATGCACTTTTATAATCTGGTGACACTTTCAGAAGTAATAACTGAAAATAAGCAAATTTCTGGAAAAAAAAGCGTGCAGAAAATCCCCGAAGCAGCGATCTGTGAAGAAATCTGCAAAGACAAAAAAAAAAAACCAAAGGAAAAAAAAGAAAAAAGGAAGCTCTAACCAGTTTTATTTAGATTCTCTTTGTCAGGATGCAGATTCCACCTGGGCACAATTTTATGGCTCTTCTAAAATCAGCATGACGCCATTTCCATGTAGACTCATCTACTGGTTTTGCCAACAGTAGGGTGCGATCTCTGCAACTGTGGCACTGAGAAATAAATCATTTACTACTCCGGTATAATACATGAAAATACAACGTGGAGTCGTGGCAGCATTTGAAGATGGTAGGTTTTTACCTACAGAAAGGGAGAAACACACACATTTTACCTGAATGGAGGGAAGTCAACGATGGGGGCTGGAGTGGAAGACATGCCACTTAGGCAGCTTTTCTTCAAGCAGATGACACAGAAACTCAAAGTCTGCCAGTTATGGCTTCAACTGCACACTGCAACCCCCCAATGTTTAGAGCCTCTCTCACATCTGGTGATGGCATCACTTTTTTTCGTGAAGTTTTGCTCACTTTTTGTTAAGAATGTGCTTAGTAGCCGTAAAATGACTACCTCAGGCTTTGATTTTGAAGCCATAGCTTACAATGGAGCAGGCTACCATTTTAACATTGGCGTCATTTTGGGGTACCCACTGTCCTAGCGCTCTCATCCATTGTGTTGGTAGGCACCGACAACTTCTGACCCTTCCCGAGAGACTTAGCGAGGTGACACAGCCGTACCTGTGGCTGCTGGGACTGAGGGACAGGATCGCATCAAGTTTGACGCTTTTTCAAGTTGCCCTTGCCAGAAAAATTCTGCAATTTCTCCCTAAACTTTAAGTTAACTCCTAAAGAAGAGCATTTTGGTGAACTATGATGAATCCAAATGCTAATGCTCCCAAAGCTGAATTAAATCTTAACTCTTTGTAGATGATTCCCATGTTAAATCTAAATTTAGAGCTCCTGATTGTTAACTTGAATGGAGGGGTGCCTTAGGGAAAAAGGGTGCCCATGAAAATGTACACGTCCTCTGTGAAATATCCCAGTTATAAACTCAGGAAAATAGCAAAGCTTCCAGCAATTATGGCCTAATTCTGTCTCAGTAAAGGGACAAACCTCCTTTGATTTTAATGGGAACACTACTTGCTTAACTCAGGACCAAATTTGGCTCTGTGACAGATGTCCTGAGATAAAGTAGTCACTACCACTAAAAATGTCAACAAGTATCCATGGTTACCATATAGTGATCTTTGAATTCTCGTAGTTATTCTGTATTCTGACTTATATATACACACAGTGCTCTACGGTAAATCTGGGTGCACTCTGGACTTCTGCTGCAATTACCAGCTGCCGTAATTTCCCTCCCAGTTACATCCACGCAATCCCAGCTAACCAGTAAGGAAACGTAGGGGACAAATCGAGACAGACTTTGACCCCCTTTTTTTGTCAACAGCGTGCGAAGGTTTTTTAAGGTACTTGTAGAGTTTGCTTTACTGTAACGTGATCAACCATAGATGTACATTAATTTTTAAAGAATACATATATCGAGAAATCGGTATGAAAAAGAGATCCTGAACTCTCACTCCTCTTTTCTGACCATTTCTTCCTTCCCAGACCACAGAGGCTGAGAGGAATTTTTAGTCTCGATCTCTGCAGTATCTTTGTTAAAAGTCCTAGAATTGCTCTCTCTTTCCAGCTTTCACCCACTTTCATGCTCTTTATTGAGGCTACCATCTTTGTGATCAAAGCTTGGAAAGAATGCCCATTGGAGCAATTTTTAATAAATAGATTTGGAGTGTTATTAACCCTAAAGATGAAAGCTGGCTTCCTAACTTTGCGTTTACAGGGTAAACAATTTAAGTTAAGATTTTTTAATTAATATTAATTTAAACCATCTGTCCACCATCTGCTTATTTCTGATGCAAAATATGAGTTTCTTTGTGATCTTTAATCAGACACTTAGCAAACGCACATCAATTCTTATCATTTTTAAGTAAGAAAATGATTTTCAGCAAATGATTTTTCAGACAAACAATTTTAGCAGTAATTTTAAATCAAAACTCACTCAACACTAGCACATACTCTGAAAAAAAAATCTCTGAGAAACAGAGTATTACAGAGCCTGATTTTTATTATTCTCATCAGGTTCCTGGTAGCAAAAAGTAAGTAGGTACCAAAATATAATTCATTTTGTGGAATCGATTCAGGGTCCAGACCACATCACCACAAGTCAACAATATATATAAACACCTAAACCAAAACACTTTTGTTACTGCATTTAGTAAAGGTCTATATAGCCAGAAAAGTGGAACCCCTCTATAACAAAGGCAGCTTGTTTACGTACCTCACTGAGAACCTAATTTTAGATCTCTTAATTAGAAAAAGACTAAAATCTAGGGCTAATTAACCACAGTTAGAAAGTTGTTGTGAGAATGGGTATGAGAGCCTTTAGCAATTACAGTCGTACACACACAGATGCACTACGCGGCTACACCAGTTATCCCAGTCTCTTCCATACGGGAACAGATTGCTAATTACAAAACCGTGCCCCAACACCTCCGCCACCCTGAGCAGCAAACATCCGAACTGGAACAAACCTTCTCATCTCAAATTATGATTTTAAATTTCCTAAGTGTCAATATGGTCCTTGATTTTGCTTTTTAAATCCTGCCGTTGTCCCCGATGAGGTCGCTCCCCGCTGATTGTCCCTGGTGATGTCAGAGACCAACAAATGCAAATGCTTCCTAAAGTTTCCAGTTATTATTTGGTATTTTAAAATGCAGCTCGCTCCCCTACCATGCCTTTCCATTGCAGCTAATGCCATGAACTATCTCCTAGAGGCAGCCTTTTCCGAAACCGAACCAAAATCTTGATGCTCATGATTTTCCATCAGAGGACCAGCAAAGGTAAATGCTAAAACTGGAGGCATAGCACACGCTCCACAAATCAGGAAGGCTTAAATATTGAAGGAATTTCTATAGAAACTGCTGGGGACAAAGCCTTTCCTTATCAGATTACACAAAAATCCTTCAACCCAAAAAACTAAGTAGACATGTCCATACAGAAATGTCACCCTCCAAATCCCAATAGTTTAAGTCACTGAGCAATTTTATTTAGTACTGCAGAAACAAGTCAAAATAAGATATATCCTTGTTTCTGTAAAAAGCTCTCTGATTTTTTTTTTTTTTTTTGATATGCCTACAGAGAATTCATACTTCCCCATCCAATCCTTCAGTCTGCATTACACCCGTGCTGCAAATAGCCTGGTTATCTCCATTTAGTTTCTATGGTCTCCTAGAAATAGAAGATTGATGTGGAAAATATGAAAATTGTCAACTTTGGTAAATCCGAGCACAGAAGCCAGTATTTGTATGATAGTTAAGAAATTACTCTAATAATGTATTCTGGAGCTTTTTAATGCTAATGATGAAAGACAAGCATTTCAGATGGCATCTAATGATGGATGTTATTTCAGTAATGCTTGCAGCAGGCTTCAGCCTGGTAAGGAGTTAATGCAAATTACCTTTTGCCTAAGAGAGAAAAATGTGATATGTTACTGTCGGTGTATCATGATTTAAAAGAAGAGAATGACTTAGCAGTAGTACTTGAAAAAAGGCAAGTGTGCTTAGGAAAAAAACCCTAACATTATTTTATTAAAAGTTGAGTGAGAGAGTGTTGTAAGGTTCAGTATCATTCCTAATAACTTGTCAGGAAAAGGAGACAAAGTTTAATCCTGAGAAACGATGACAAAACTGTTTCAAGCTCTTTAAGTTCTTACCTAGTTCTTACCTAGCTGTCTGCCTATGCAGAGGGGTTGGCTTGGGAAGTATGATCATCTCAACACCACAGACTCTCTCTCTCTTTCCCCGCCTTATCCTTTTCTTTCTCTTTTTTTTTTTTTTTGGAAGACTATCGTATTTACGTAATCGTCCTCTTATTAGGGAGATTCTGCTGAACTGCTGACAATGATGTACAGTGGTTCTTCGCTGGCATGACGTTTGGGGAAAACGATTCTGCTGCACCACCACACAAAACCAATTAGAGAACTATTTTCTGCGACAGGTCAGGAATTTACATTGTTTCTCATAGAAAGATGTGCTTTTTAATTTCTTTATTAAGATGACATCCATGTCCCTTGCGACTTTTAGGGATGACAATCATTTGCTCATCACATGGGAAAGTACAATCAGCGAAATCGCATTACCGGTACGGGGCAATGCCAGAAACTCCAAGCATCGTTCCGCATTTTCCAAGTGAACTAGTTTGAGAACCAATAATTAGAACAATATATATTGATAGAATTTTTTGACAGGACCTTTAGACACCCACCAGGGGGGTAAAGTAATGATAGTCCATATACAGCAGGCTATGCTATGTTTGCCCAACACATAAACATCATCTTTGTCAAATCAGTAAGACATATAGAAATCCTGTACGCCTTCAGATCAGGACGTGATCGGAGGTACTAACTAGCTTTGGCTTCTTCCTTGACTTGTGGATGACAAACTGTTTCTCTTTAGTGAAGTCTTGATGGTCAGTATTTTTATACCCAAAAAAAGAGAACTTAAAGTGGTATCTCTGCTATGACAAATTCACAAAATCAAAGATTTCCCTGCATAAGCCTGAAATGTTATCCAGAACTCATCCCATTTACCTCAGTCTTTATCAAGGAAGGCTTCCTCAAAATACCGGAACACAGGGAGATTAGTTGAAATGGAATTTTGTTTAGCATGCAAACAGAAATTTGTGAAACTAAATTATACTTATAAATTGCTTAAACACACAAATCTCTAAACACAGCCTGGCATAAAATAATAAAGAGGTGAAAGAGAAATAAACATTTGATTAAACACATTAAGGATTCTGAAGTATGACTGTATCTGGTTTTATGAGTGTACTAAGGTAGTCTCTGAATTATAATTATTAATCTGTATTCATAAGAAGCCACAACTGTATAAAGTGTGAATGTACATTAACAATAAAAAAGACTGTATTTCAACAAAAGTTGGTCTTGTAATGTGCCAAACTTACTTTCAAGATGCAAAAAAATCTGAGCAAACCAGTTTCCAAAGAAAAAACCCTGAATGAATAAAAAAAAAAATCACACCTTTAATAGCAGTAAAAATGCTCTTCCAAAGGACAAAAAAGAACAGATTTGGTAAGAGGGAGAAAAATTTTATTAATTAAACATACAGCTTGCAATTTAATTGATTGAGTTTTGAAGAAAAAAATTATTTTTATTGCAAAATATTACTTATATGGAAATAGAAAGCCAACGCTCCTGCCATGAAATTACAAAGCAAACTTTATGCTTTACCTTTTAATTTGAAACTTCATAAAAATACAAGAATAGCTAAAAGCGAGACAGACTTAACTCTCAAGTTGATCATTTGAACGAGGATATCAGCATGTAAAGGGGTAAAAGATCCATTACATCTGCCTACACTAATAAGAGTTTGTCTTTTTCTGAACAGAGGAAAATCCTGGATTTTAAATTGTTTTTAGTAAAAAGTACATCTGTGTGTGTGCTTGTGAGTGTATATATATGTAAATTTATATATTTACCTTTCATTCAAGGTTCTAGTTTCATTCTATGTTTTTCTTCTACAGCCAAGTGTCTACGGGAAATCACTCAAATGTTTGTATTCAAGCTCGTGTAGTAATACAGCTATAAATACCGAAGGCAGCAAGGTTATATCATACTTTATTATATTGTTATTTTCAGCAAGCATGATCAGAGTAAGAGGCTGGCGAGGGGAAGTTTCTGTGTTCCAGTCCCGATTGTATCACTGAGTCAATGTGTCATTCATTCCCTTGTGTTCCTGTCAACCAGTTGTAAAATGTGTGAGAACATATTCTGCACTTTTTTCCTTAAGTGTTTTCTAAATTTAATCTGATATTTTTCTGTGCGGTGTCAAGATGATGTTAGTTCTCCCTTCTTTAGGGAAAAAAAAAAACAAACAACAAAACAATACGCAATTAAATGTGCTGGCAAAATCTATGTTCCTACATTACATGCCTACAAATTCTGTCAATATGCATATATACCTATAGCTGTATATAAACCCGCATGCTCGTAATTATATCCTATGGGTAATTACTATGCATACAATACATGCGAATTTAAGTAATGTCTAGCCTATGCTACACAAAAATGTTTTTGGTTAAGGAAGATTTTAAACTAAACATTTGAATTAGTATTTCACTTCACTGATAGAAAAAATCAAGAGAAATACTAAAATATTTCTCACCAGCAATATGTACAGTGAAAATATCTCCAAGTTTCTTTTGTTGATCCAGTAAGAAGTTGAAAGCATCTTTTCTGAAAAGTAAAGCCTTCCCAAGGTAAGGAATCCAGCCATTTATTAGCGGGGGCTCTCCAGTCTTCCTGTTAAAAACAGAAAAAAAAAAAATAAATCAAGAATTAACTTTGGCATGAGAGCAACTCATCTTTGTATCTGTTTATATCTTACACGTAGAGCCATCACATACATCTATAACTCTTGCAATGTATAATATGTTGTACAGAAAGTTCTTCAGATATGATGGCAGGTTAAATCTAATCACACCTCTGAGCACAGAAGGCTCTGTGTGGTGATTAGGAAAAATAAGTGAGAGAAATTGAGACGCATTTAACTACAGGTCGTCCAGTTATTACCATCGAGTTACGAACGCAGAAAAATGACATTCAGTAGAAAATCTTCCAGCAAAGAGTGTTCTCATTTTCAATATTTGGCGTGTCAGAGGAAGACGTATCGGAAGGCAATTATGACAGATTTAGGTAAATAGGACGCCGACATAGCACACAAAACAACTAGCCTTACGGATAACATTTTAAGAATTTCAGTTTACCAGCACACAGAACAGCTAACATTCTAACTAAATATCTTGTAAATACAGAATAATAAGAGAGGCTGAACATTTACCATAACAAATCTTAGTCTCCATATATTTATAGTCTCCTAAGCTAGAGATGTGTATGAACAGTTTAAGATGAAATTCTAGATAACGATATTCGCATCCCAGTCTAAAATAGCAGCCATGGTGTGTTAGTTATGTTTATGGAATAGTATAAAATACCTTTTAAGAATCTAAGGAGTTACATTTGTCTTTAAAAAGGAAAAAAGGTTCCCACACTGTCCTATTCCTGACTGCAAGTAAATGTCTTTCCTTCACGCTGGTCTTTAGTTGTTTGAATCTGATTTACAACAAAGAAACATAAAGCATGCTTGCTCTGGAAAGGATTAAAACAAATATTCGTGAACAACTCTGCTGCTACATCCCATCTGTGAAGGTGACTTATACTACATGCAGAACAACTCATTCTGATTAAACACAAGATATTTACTAGCTTGGATGTAATCAAAGATCAAGGGATCACAAGCTTTACTACTATCATACACAGCATGGATTTTTATGTAGCTGGATTAACCCTGTCATAGTCACATTCTCCCTTGAACTGCCGTAACAGAAATGGAGAAAAAAAAAAAGGTGAACATGATACGCTGTATTTCCATTTTTTATTTTCCTAATTCAAACACTCGGAGCAGGAAATTACAAGGCAGAGATTTGCTCTTGTACTTAAAAAAGTTGCTATGAATTTAATTTACAGATAAACAGATGTGGCCAAACCAAGCTGCACATCTCGGTCTCTTTCTGCTTAACTGACTACTAATTCTGAACGTTAGTTTTCAAGACCATCCTTTTGTCGTCTGGAAAACCAGTGAACTTGATGGTCCAAACCCAAAAATCTCACAGCCAACACGTTTGCCCTGGCTTTTTTGTTTCTTTGGGTTTTGTGGCTCTGGGGTTATATATCTTTGTTTTGTGGTGGGTTTTTTTAATTGTGGAGAAGGTGGGGCCCCTCTTTTTTCAATACCTCCCATAAAACCCACTGCATTATCCGTCCTCTGGCAGCCAAATAACAACATTGTTTACTCAAGTGGTCCAGAAAACTTTGTAACGGTTAATTCTCCATTAAGTGAATACAAGAAAAGAACTAATCTGAGATTACTCGAGAGGGATCACCAGCCCTGGCAACATAACAGCCAACTCGATACCCTCAATTATCCCCTCCGAGCCCGTAAAGGATCTGGATGATTTACCCATTTCTCCCCCCTCCAAACTATTAAGTCCTGAGAGCAGCCGCCTTTCACTTGCCGGGCTGGACACTACGCCCCGTAAATAGCATCCTGACAAATATTTAGATAGGCTTTTTGTCATCTTCTAATTGAATGCATCTAATTTCACCCTCCACGTTCTGTCATTCGGTCAGAAGCTGTATTCTTCACAAGCTCTCTGCTGGGTAAAAAGAAGGCAGCTCAGAAATCCAGGGGAAAATTAACTTAATGCTCCAAGTCTGCGGGATCACATCAGGGAGACATTTTGCTATCGCAAAGACGTTGAGGGTCATCGTTTGCTTCAGACATGTTTAGCTCAGCAGCAATAAGCTTAACACTATTAAACACCATGTCAAGGCTACGTGGCTTTCAGGGGAAAATATAACACCAGTTCAACTTACGACCCACAGCAGACTGATAACAGAAATGTGTCTTCATTTCTAGCTTTCCTTCTCTTTGGAAGATGGAGGTCATCTCCATGACTTATTGATGCCTGCTAACACACAGTGAAGAAAAGTGCCGCGTATATTTTAGTGCCTCCCAAAATACAATGCTTCGCTGCACAAACTTTTAAGCAGGGCAGTGCAGTTGACCCTGGCTTCTTGAAGGACTCTCACCCACATCCCGGATACCTCCAGAAGTTCTCGTTGGCTTCAGATGCTACACTGAACCATTGACGAAGCCCACAGAAACTTTTACTGGTTAATTAATTTGTTTATGAACTTTTAACTCTGGATTCACACTTCACAGCTGTTGTAAAATTTGATAATTAGGCAAAATATCACAAATGTTAAAGGTACATTTTTCTTGTGACACAATATATATTGTTGTACCAAATGTAAAATATAGCTAAGAAATATAAAAGAGCAATATGAAGTGTTTTGATGGCAATTTAAGATTGCAACTTTTTAAACTGAAGCATTCAGAATGTCTTATCAGATTATGTTTTATTCAGACCTAGTTTAACTGCTTTAATTCTAATTCACTTAACACACCTCATAATATTCCCAGGCCTTTTCACTCCATGTTACTATGCTTTTTACAGATCAGACTGGTTTCGTTTATATACAGGAATATCTTTACTTATCTGAGAAGCCTCTGTGAAGTCAGTAAGACTTAACGGGCAAATTTCTCACATATGTGAGTGAATTTTACAAATAAAGCATCAGCAACATGTCCAATGCAATCTATAAGTAGACGGATCAGTTACAAAGTGGAGGGAAAGCAACACAGTTGTATCATCCATCATTGTTAAATGGATAATTTCAAATGGCATTATGCAAAAATCGGCTGGCCATAAATACAGCCCATAAACAGAATGAACTGATTTTGATAACTGTAATTTTTCTTTGCTTTCACAGTGGAAAGATACTTCCTTGCTAACAAGTAATCAAGTTGCAATGTCTACTCCATCAAAGAAGCAAAGTTTTGGAGTTTCTTTACAGTTTCCTTAAGGTGAAATTTTTCCAGCGCACCCAAAACACAGAAGTCACTGACTCAAGTGTGATTATTTAGCTACTGAGGCAAGGCAGTCCTAAAAAATGTGGATGTTGTACCTATGTCTCACTTATGCTAAGCAGCAGTGATGCAAGAAAGCAGGAGAAAAAAGGGCTGCAACATAAATTATGTGAAAAATAGATTCAACATTATTATTTTTTTAATTCAAGGTCTCTAAACATTATGTTTTCAATTAGTGAAAGGGAAACCCAAATAAGGTCATTTGTTAAGCTCTCTAAACATGAACTTTTTTTTTTTAATTATAACGAAAATACGCTAAAGATTCACAAGCAAACAGAGTTTGCCAACATTATCTCTCATAGAAATAGCATTGCTTCGTAAAAGCACACAAGACTTTTCTTGTGCTAGTTACAGCATTTGAACACCACCGCAGTGTAGGGCATTGGATCAGTGTAAATGAGAGGAGAATCCTTCTCATTTCGCTGGTTATTTGTATTCCAAAGGAGCAGATGCCTTCCAAATTATGCAAAAATCCACAGCGCATCTCGTGCTATAGCAGATGAACAGGTTAATTTTTCTCTTTGCACATAATAAATCATAAGTGCTTTAACACCCATAGTCGCGTTTCATGAACATAAACCTTCTGTTTAATAATGTCTGTTTACAACTAGAATCAGACATACAGTAATCTCTTGCCTGGGATAAACATTAATCCAGATCTGTCTAGAAAAATTATACAATTCATTACCATAAGTAATCTCTATTGTGCCCTGTGCTTAACCTTCATCTTTTTTCCTGTCCTATAATCTTGCAAATCCACTGGTGCTGTATGATTGGCATCTGGTGTTAACGCAGCCTTTGCTGCGCACAGCCCAGCTGAAAAAGCCCTACATGAACGTGTCCCGCCGCTTCAGCTCAACAACTTTCACCAAAGGGTGAAAAAAACCCCACAAGCCGGGGAGAAAATGGTCTAACAATAGCATTTGCCACAGACGGGTCATTTCCACTTTCCAAACCATCATTACCATCCACAAAAATTAAAGGTATCAGTCTGATAGCATCCCTGCTCAAACCATCGCCTATCATGTCCAAGCTGGAAAACACCGTGCTGGGGGACTTTAAGGAATGGTAATGGATGGGTACAAAAGTAGAACAAAAGCTATTCTGAATGTGTCAAAGCAGTTTGAGATTATTCGCAGGCTCAATCACAATATTTGAGCAACATGACATGACAGCCAGTGTCTTTCCAGGGGCTTATGAGCACTCTAACTGTGAGGAAAAGAATGAGGCCAAAGGCTTCAACCCCAAGAAAGGTAATCCCCAGAAATGTGGTGTCTGGAGTGTCTTCTTGTATTATGAGAGAGAGAACACAGGAAACTTAGGACAGGAGAAAGACAGTAAGTCTATCTTCCTCTGTTTTTTTTTAATTTAGCAGTTAGTTTCCCCCCCAGACCTGCTCATAGCATTAGGTGTTTTGTATCTAAGAAGACAGAAAAATATTCTCTTCCAAATAGTTGCCCACAACACAATTTTTTGCTACTTAAAAAAATTATGCATGCCTTAAATACCCCGTCCACATTATCTGCCTCAGTGACCTCCGGGAACTCTAAATTTTCCAGGCTGAATACATGTGGTATGAAAAAGTATTCCCTGCAGAACAAGCCAGATGAGAGTTTTAGCAATATACAGTCTTCTACCTTTGAATTCTCAGCTTACATACCTCCTACGGAGGTTAAGGACCAGATGCTGCTCCTGTCTGAACACTATTTGGAGGCTTATATCGAGTAAATGGAAGTATCAGGCCAAGTCTTGACAGACACGAATTGACTCAGTGAAGAAGAAACAAGAGCCAACAAAAACTCACGCCGACGCCACCTACACTTTTGCCTAGGTAAAGTGATTTCACACTGATAACCTCCTCTTTTTCATTAGAATAAAGATCACTTGTAAAAGAAAAGGAAAAAGAATCAGGAAAAAGTAGCAAATACACTTGAGAGAAGAGTTTATCTGCGCTCTCAAAAAGAGCAGTACAGCAAGGACAGGTTCTAGGGGTAATGTGAGACAAACTGGGAGAAATGCTGACGAAAACAAACCAACCAACCACTGAATTTTTGCAGTGATTTTTTTTTTCCCCCCACAGAAAAGTGCAATCATTTTGTTGAAAGTTTTTCATGTCAAGAACTTGTGGGATTGTAATAATTTTTTTTTTTTTTTTCCCTGTAAAAGCATACAAGCTTTTTGTTGATCTCTAACTTGTGCTGTAATCCATTCATCACAGGAGTCTCTTCTTTTGTCCCTCTTCCAGTAAGTTCATTTGGGTCATCCCCAAATATCCAAAAAACACCAATACTCAACAGCTCATTCAGTACCTCTGAAATACCACTTTCCAGGAAATCTTATTCCTTTGCAGTTTTTTAGGCTAAATTATTTCAACAATTGTAGGTTGACATTGTACGTATCAACTCTTCACACTTCATATTTGTGTGTTGAAGGACACATCCGTGAATTCAACCACTAGTTATACTGCCTGGTTGGGACATTGCCCAAAAAGCCAAAAGGCAAGTAAATACCTTTGTGGGAAAGTAAACTGAACAGTTAAAATGGAAACCCACTGAAAGCGCCCTTTTGGCTCAGGTTTTATCAGAGGTTGAAAATTCCCAGAAAGGTTATGTAAACCTCATGTGAAGTTTCATACCAGCCAGGATAGGAGTCACAGCGAAGACAAGCCCTGGTCAATGTGACATTAATTCAGTGATATTAAAAATGAATACAAATTCAGTGCTTATGGATCCATCCTTGAAATCCTACTTTGTTTCTGCTCTGGGCAAGGTCAGTGAGAGCAGTCACGACGACTCAACACTTTTCCTGACCAAGCCCAAGGTTATTCCATTTAAGATCACTTGCCCAGCCCAGGGTTTTTCCTTTCTTAATTCAGCTTTAATCAAAGAAAATTAGGCTAGGAAGGGATGATGAGAGGTTACTTATTCCATGCCTCATATCCCAGGTAGGGTGCTGTGCACCTATATCTTCCCTCATATTTGTCTATGCTGTTCTATGCTCTACAGTCTCCCCAAGCAATCTGTCCTTATTATCAGAAAGTTTCTCCTCACATCTAACCTTTACCGTCATGTTGTACATCAAGCTCACTACTTCCCATTCTGCCTGCGAAGGATAAGAGAATAAAAAATTCTCTTCACTTCTGCAGGAGCTCTTAAAGGTACTTCTCATGATCTCCCTTAGTCTTCTTTAGGTTAAACAACCTCAGTTTCTTCCAGTATTTCCTCATTACTATTTTCTAGACCTCTACACACTTATGTCACTCCCCTCCTGATTTTCTAGCATTAGCTCAC